ATCAATCAAATTCTCATAAAAAACATTTTATGCAATTTTCATGAGATAGAACAAAGATTCTTTGAAAACAAAGACTCTGACAAAGAAAATATAATAAACTAGCAATTTTACATAAATATTAAAGTTTCAAATAGAAAAACAAATGTAATATGATGCGTTATCCTAATATAGTACTGCACTATAGTAATTCCAATAATGGAAAATGATCTCTAATCTTCTTAAAATTCTATTACCCATGTTAAAAGATGGCTAGATCTGGAGCGTTCAAAGCAATTTGAAACTTAAGGAAATAATGGAGAAATTTAGGACTAATTCATTACAAATATAAGAGTAATAATGAATTTATTAAGTAATATAGTGTTAATACATTACTGCATTTAATACAATAAATATATCATTGAATATATTCTTGAATTTATTAAATAATACCATTTCATGAATTCAATAATATATTAAATGTAATAATTAAATGGAACAATATATTTAATATATTAAATGTAGAAATGTATCAACAATACATTTTTTAATAAATTAATTAATTACAACTATTGAATAATAATTATTCTAAAACAATAAATGCCTAGTTTGTTATATTATCTTTGTAAAATTTAATAAATACATTATATTTCATAAAATCATTAAATTAAATTGTATATTATATTTAAAAATACAATGACTGCAGTTAATCATTTATGTTAATTTAATAAATGTTATATCTCTTAAAAATATGAACAACATATTAGTAAATATATTAAATTTAATAATTAATATTGTATTAATATCTTGTATTTTTTAATAATTTATTACTTACTATTATTTAACAATAGTTTAAAGTAAAATAAAACATGCTAATACAATGTATTTGATAAGTTTAAGAAATCTAATATAGTTCATAAAATTATTACTGTGAATTATATAACATATTAAATAATTACTAGCATGTAAAGAAAATATTTTATTTTATCAATTATTTGGGGGTAACAAAGTTTTGAAGTATTACACCACGTTCATTAACACAAGAGTTATTATCTACACTCAACTTAATTTTGACATTCTAAACTTATTTTGACATGTAAAAAAAATACATAATAATATTTTTGTAAATAATTAAAAAGAAATTACATTTGATTTTTACAAGTCAAACTTAAAAAAAAAAGATTTTTATATCTTACTATTATAAGTTAAACATAAATTTATGTCTAATAATTATATGGTAGATTTAAATTTATGTTTCTCGAGTGAAATTTAAGAATCATATTTTATGTCTCACCTTTATACGTGAGACATAAATTTGTTTAAAAAAACATGCAGTACATTTTTTCTTTGTTTTTCTTCTTACGGAAAAAACTGTTGTCAACTCTAGTGACGAAAAAAGGAAGTTCTTTTTGAATCGAGTGAACCTTAATTTCTATTTGAAATTTTGTAGAAATGATTAAATTTTAATTATTTGTATTAAATCTTCAATTATCCAAGTTTACAATTGAAAAATTTATTTTTTATAATTTGTTAAAATGTGTACATAATAAGGTTATGTATAAATTAGATAAAATTTTAGTTGAGACTATTTAGTGTTATTTTTTAGATGTATAAGAGTAATTAATTTTATTTTATGTATTTCAGATATCATGCAACATGTTGTCAAATATCAAATTTATGATGAAAAAGATTAAATTCTTTTAAAATTAATATTTAAAAGGATTTAATATTAACCAAAATATTAATTATACCTTCTTATTATACATTAATACTATATGCAATCTTAATTATCTCATTTTTATATAACAAATAAAATTACCTTAATACTAGTTTATGAAAAGTTCTGAGTATAATAAAAATACGTTAATACGCGTAAATGATTTAATATTAGAAATTTAGTTTTTTATTAAATATAACTACCAATTAAATTTAATTACATACCATCGTTATTTATATAACGATAAATTTCAGAAAACAAACTTACTGGTAAGAAATTTCTACATGAACGTTCAAATGGAGAATATATTATTTTATTATTACATTATATCTTTAAGAAAAAGGTTGACTAAAGAACAGCAGAAGGAAGAGGAAAGCAAAATTGGACTTAGAATAAAATAAGGCGGCGGCAAAGGGGGCAGGAGTTGCAGTGCTCCAACCAGATGGTGATGCAGCTTGAGTGGTACACGTGGCCGCAGGGGATTCGCTTGTTTTCCCCTTCCCCGCTGTGCCGGCTGAACCCCTCCATGCAAACGGAGCAAACCTCGTCCCTCCTCACCTCGTTCACTGTCGGCAACTTCGACACGTAGCTCTTGCACGTTGCCACTACACACCCTGATTCTCCCTCCACCACCGCAAGAGCCTCGTCCAGATCAAAACCACCCAAGTCTATGAAATTGTTCACCATTGTCACCGGCGATACCATGATCGCCGCAATATCATCGCTGTTCTCTAAAATCCTATGATTAGCGTTGTTGTCATCCATTGCACAAGCTCAATAACGAATCACCTATATATATCTCACCCTCTACGATTACTTTTCCTTTCACATATTTATTGACATAGCTTGGGTCTTTCAACAGTTTCATTTTTTCAAACTCTTTTATAATAATTTATTATAAATTTGATTTTGATTGACAGTCACCTTAACATTGTTATTACCCATTTCACATATTTTAGTCTTTGTTTATTTATTTTATAATGATTGACATAATTCATCATAAATATTTTTTATTGGAAGTCATTCATATTTTGATGACAGAAAAAAAAATATAAGATTATATAATTTGTTCCTATTTTTTTATAATGACCTGGATTTAAATTTGTCAGGTTGAGTCAAATGTTTTACTTCTGTCTCGTCTTCTTAAAATAAATAATTATCCCTTGAATAGTATTTTCTTTTGGAGAACTTTAGAACTACTGTGAGTGAATTATAGCAGGAATCCTGCCGCATTATTAGGTATTAAGATAGAAACTTAGGAATCCGTTAATTAAGAAAGACCTGGCCAATTTTAATTTTGTGCGTAAGGTAGAGAAATGATAATTTTATTTTGCTTGACTTAATTTGTTAATTCTTATAATTTGATTAATAAGATAATAAATTTCTTATGGTTTAGTTTTTTTTTAGTAAATCTTTTCTGAGAATTTTATATTAAATCAACTATTATTAATGATTTATAGGATTATTAATGTATATGAGCGTAGATTCGATCCCTAGTGATGATTCAACTATCAACAGCCATTTGGTGGTCAACATAGACCTAAAAGAAATTAAGACTGTTTTTTTTTTAATTTAATTAAAACGAAAAAAGTTATATAAAAAGAAGCTGAAGTGTTTTTGTACTAGTCCACCTGTTGGAGGCTCTTTCTTCCTACATCTCGAATGTATTAAAAAAAATATTTTCAATTGTACATTTTTTTTTCAAAGTATTTTTAGATGTAGAATTATCTTTTGAAATATATAATTCAGAATTATAGTTTTTGAAATGTATTACAGATTGTATGTTTCATTTTTAAATTTAGAATTCTTTTTCAGAATATACAACCTTGTATAAAAAAATATTTTCAATTATATATTTAGAAAGTATTTTCATATTTGAGAGTATCTTTTAGAATACATAATTCAGAATCTAGTTCCTGTAATGCATTCTGAAATTCTGGAATGTATTTCAGAAACCTGCAGTCAAACAAAAAAAAACATACCAGAACCACCATTTTTATCACCCAAATCGAAAAAAGAAAATGGAAGAATTACCTCTTCAATAGGTCACCAAAAAAGTTGATAATGCTCGTAAGAAGAAGGAAGCAAGAAGAAAGTGAGAAGAAAAGAGGTTGCAGAGTTTGAGGAAGTGAGAATATTTAAGCAAGTAATAGGATTTTAATAAAATTTTCAACAAGAATAAATTGGGAATTACGAATTTTATGAGGGTGCAGGAAAAATAAAAAAAGAGCTGCAGAGAGAAAGAGCCCCTATTTGATCGATATTAGTCCAAACCTCCTTTTTGTTTTTTATATATATTAGGTCTTATTAAGTGCTTTAAGCACTTGGGCCGGAAACAAAATCATGTTGTAGAGACCCCTTTTTCATTTTTGTACCCTCTTTGTAATTTTTTATTTCTTTACTCATTTTAAATATGTTCATTTGTGTGTGATTCTTTTATATTATTAAATATATATTATATTAAAAGATATTTAAATATATTATATTAAAATATATTTAAGGATTAAGGGGAAAATAATAATATTTTTGAATTTATAAATTAAATTTTGAATAAAATTAACGTGAAAAATTATTCATAAATTTAGAAAATTAATATATATGTATATAAAAATTTAAAAAATATTAAAAAAAATGAATATAACATGTGAAAAAACATAGAATGAATCTTCTAAAAATATAAAGAATAAACACTATAAAAATTTGTTAAGTATATATTTGTTATAAATACAAATCAATACATAAATATATTGGTCTAAATGTATATTGATAAACTGGTATAATCAATACATAGCCAGATTTGTTTAGAGAAATAGTATCAAAACACACTTTTACATTCATTTAACTCAGAGTACAAGATAAAAGAGTCATAAAAGTATAAATTTTTATATTTTTTCAAGACTGGAAGAGAGTAAAATGTAAAAAAGGTAATGTCAAATGAATGTAAAAAATTTAAGTGTGTCAAAAGAATAATTTTTCATTTGTTTAATATCTAAAATTAGTCTCATATGATAAATACATGGACACATTCATGTGAAAAAAAAATCAGAATATAGTTCTTCTTGAAATGTTGTTTATATAAAAAAAGGTTATTTTATTCAACTAGAAGAAAACATGCAAACATGAAATCTATTACCTTTGTTTTTTCCTTCTAAAAGAAGAATATTTCGAAGAAGATGTTTGTTTCATTCTAGTTATATATGATCACCCTATTTAAAGTAATTAAGTTAAAATAAATGGAAGAAAAAGAATGAAAGAAAAATATATAACACAATATCAGTCGTATAAGAGACGTGAACAACACGGTGAAAAATAATATTTTTCTAGAGTAATCAATTACAAAACCTTATAATTGATTATAAGATGATTTTTTTAGAGTAGTCATGATCCTCTCTCTCTCTCTCTAAAGAAGGACTATATAATTCCATTAATTGTTCATTACATGTTATCAATCGATAAAAGAAATCCCCAGGTCTAAACCAATACATAATATAGTATATTTGTTAGAATTCAAAACCAATNGTCTAAATGTATATTGATAAACTGGTATAATCAATACATAGCCAGATTTGTTTAGAGAAATAGTATCAAAACACACTTTTACATTCATTTAACTCAGAGTACAAGATAAAAGAGTCATAAAAGTATAAATTTTTATATTTTTTCAAGACTGGAAGAGAGTAAAATGTAAAAAAGGTAATGTCAAATGAATGTAAAAAATTTAAGTGTGTCAAAAGAATAATTTTTCATTTGTTTAATATCTAAAATTAGTCTCATATGATAAATACATGGACACATTCATGTGAAAAAAAAATCAGAATATAGTTCTTCTTGAAATGTTGTTTATATAAAAAAAGGTTATTTTATTCAACTAGAAGAAAACATGCAAACATGAAATCTATTACCTTTGTTTTTTCCTTCTAAAAGAAGAATATTTCGAAGAAGATGTTTGTTTCATTCTAGTTATATATGATCACCCTATTTAAAGTAATTAAGTTAAAATAAATGGAAGAAAAAGAATGAAAGAAAAATATATAACACAATATCAGTCGTATAAGAGACGTGAACAACACGGTGAAAAATAATATTTTTCTAGAGTAATCAATTACAAAACCTTATAATTGATTATAAGATGATTTTTTTAGAGTAGTCATGATCCTCTCTCTCTCTCTCTAAAGAAGGACTATATAATTCCATTAATTGTTCATTACATGTTATCAATCGATAAAAGAAATCCCCAGGTCTAAACCAATACATAATATAGTATATTTGTTAGAATTCAAAACCAATGCATGATACAAATAAAAAATATTCTTACAGAATAATAGCATAATTCGATACAAGAATTAATGTAAAACCTGCTATTTCCATCCCATCGTATTTTTCTAAATTCAATCCCCAAAAAACACATACTCAATGCTATTGCTATTTTTTTTTTCTCATTTCAATCCGCATAAGCGGCACGAGAGAACAAAGTTACATGATAAAGTGAAATTAAAATTTAACTACAAAATTACATGTTACGTAACATCAATTCTTTCTTCTTTTCTTCACCTGTTTTGTTATTTCGACAACGGGTTCTTGTGCAAGTAGAATCAAACATTCTGATACCTCAATCGCATCAGTGTAATCTTTCAGCCTAAGTTGGAATTCTAAATATGAATCTTGTAATTGCTTAAATTGGGAAGGCTGTGACAGTTGGTGCTGTTTTAGTATCTGATCAAGCTCTAGGCCCTTCTTTTCCTCCACAAGTATTCGGGCTTCAAGATCTAACAGTTGTTGATTCAACCTACCAATGTCACCAACTTCTACGTTGTTCTGTTCGACATCGTTTGATTTGACGATTTCATGTTCAAGAAATTTGGCTGCAACAGCATCGACACCTGGGTGCCCAAAAGAGTAAGGTCTGTTTCCAATAGAGAACACGACAATTGCAATTTCTGCACCGCACAGTATCGATAGTTCATTCGCCTTTTTGAATAAACCTGTTCGACGCTTTGAAAATGTGACTTGTCTCGTATTAGGATCCTTCACTGCTGCAATTTCAATTTTACGACGACCCATTGTTTCTTCGCACTGCTAATTACTAAAAACAACACAAGAATGAGAGAATAGAAAGAGAGAGATTATTGTCAAGATTAAGATGAATATGATATGATATGATATGATACTTCCACAACCCTTTATTTATAAAACTTTATTTGAAATTCTTCAACGTTTCTAATATTGAAATTTTCAATTCCCAATTGTTTTCACTCCTCTACGCAAGCATTTTATTATCTTTCCTGATTTTTCTTTGAATAAATACCTATTTTAGTCCCTCTTTTTTTTTTTTTTAGAAATTTTTTTACGATTAATATCTATTAATTGTCATTTAAGATCAAATTTATCATTGTCTATATATAATAGAATTTATTTAAATACATTTATAGCATAAAATAATATGTTGTTTTAGATATTTGTGCGCGTTAATATATCTACCTAATGCAAAATCTTGATGAGGGATTAAGTTTCAACAACGACTCTAATCGAAACATTAAGGTTATTAAAAAAATGCACCGGTGATGATCTAAACATCACTGCCATGTATGCTTAAACACGTGGTCATTATTAGATTAACCCCTTTAAGGAAAATTAATTAATTAAATTATTCGTTGATAACTCTGTTAAGGAAGGAGAAAAAAAAAAGAATTATTCATTTGGTACTAAAGTGAAAAAATAGGAGGAGATATTTCATTAATGATAGTTAATCAAGTTTTATTTTATATTACAGACACGGGAAAAAA